TCCTCCTTGCACTTCCCACAGAGCCATGCCCTTGTTGGGGACTTTAGTGAGCAAGGCCCAGCGTCTCCTGAGATTCCAGTCATTCTAAAAAAGAACCCTCAGAGGGCCTTGGAGCCCATCAGAACCACAGGGTTGTCCTGTAGCCTCTCCATAGCCTGACCATGGTCCTACCCTGTCCATCCATCCCCCAGCCCCAAATATTGGCCTTACTTACCATAAGGACTCGTCACTGGAGCCCCGAGGGGCGCGTTCACACTGACCATGACCAAGGGTGCCCAGCTGGACACTGGGGGGCATGGAGGAGCTGGGGCCCACACACAGCGGCAAAGGGGCCACCGGGAGCCGGTCCACCAGGAAGGCAGTGAGCACAGCCAGCTGCCACCGCCCGGTTATCTTATTGATTCTTCTAATCACCCAAGGTGGGTGGATATGTTAAAGAGTAACCAGTCACTTAGGGAACCTGTGGCTGGGGATTGTCGCTTTTGTCATGGCAACGGCAACCTGGCTAGACCTGAGGTCCACTCAGGTCCCAGTCCTGGGCTCTGGGGTTAGGAGAACCTGAAACCAGATGTTGGAAACATCAGCCCTACAACTTGAGAGAAGGGGTTGAGCAGGGTCTGGGGAGTTGAGAGTCTGTGGTGGGTGGAGTTTTATGGCTCTGGACTACGGGTGTGGTGAGAGCATGAAAAGTGGGGAAGCTGAGGGAGGGGTAGAGGAGGAAAGGAGGGTGGAGAATTAAGTTTATTGCATACCAGACTGGATGCTGGGAGTTTGACACAGGCATGACTAGGATTAATTAAACCTTGAGATGAAAGAGTTCCAGGGGGCTGGAGGGATAATTCAGTGGTTCAGGTCACTGGCTACTCTTCCTGAGGACCTTGGGTTTGATTCCCAGCACACACATGGCTGTTCGCCGCCATCTGCAACTCCAGTTCCAGGAAGCCCAATGTCGTCTTCTGGCCTCTACAGGCACTGGCATGTAAGTGGTACACAGATAGACATGCAGGTGAAACGCCCAAACACATAAACTAAATCTAAAATTAAGTAAGTAAAGGACCATGAGGCATGGGCAGAAGCTGCTTGCCTCGAGTCTCACACTGGGCGCAGAGAAGATCTGGGGTCACAGCCCTGGTCCACGACTCATCCACAGGTCAACTGAGTGAGTACCTGCTATGTGTGGCGTTCCGTGCTAAACTCCAGTGACTCGAAATGAACCAAGCACGGAACTTGTAGAGTAATGAAGAGATGCACATTCATCACATCATAGTCAGAGGTGGGTACTATTGGGATGGACCAACTGGAGGTCAGCCCTCTGCCAGCCCCCCTCTCCATGCCACAGGCAGCCTGCTGTTGAAGCCTGCTGTCTGGTCTGAGACCCCCTCTCGAGCGTGATAACCTACCACCTAGTTCTTTTTTTTTTTTTAATTGTTGTTGTTGTTATTTGCTGACACCCCATTTGCTTTGGCCCAGTGTTGGAGCTCCCAGCCTGCCTCAGGATTCTCTAGTCTGGATCATTAAAACATTGTTCAAATGACAAATTTGAAACTGAGGGGAACGAGCAACCCCAGCTCCGCCATCTTCTTGGTGATTCTTTTGCTAAATTCTTCTGTCTCCTCACAGTAATTTCTCCATAGCGGGTTGCCCCACCTCCCAAACCAGCTAATTGATAAACTCTTTCTCACAGCCACTTTCAGGAGACCCCTCTGCTGTACTGACAGGCACTGGCTGTTTCCAGTTCTCAGCCTCCTGAGTTCTCCCCCCTACACAGGCACCTTCCTGCCTTTATTTTATTTCTCATCCAGTTTAAATCTCCAAGACTGCGTCTCTCCCAGTTCCTTCCCTGGGGAAACTCGAAGCCAGGAAGGACTTGAGTGTTTTTTTTGTTTGTTTTGTTTTTTTTTTTTTTTTGGTTTTTCGAGACAGGGTTTCTCTGTGGCTTTGGAGGCTGTCCTGGAACTCACTTTGTAGACCAGGCTGGCCTCGAACTCACAGAGATCCGCCTGCCTCTGCCTCCCGAGTGCTGGGATTAAAGGCGTGTGCCACCAACGCCCGGCGACTTGAGTGTTTTTTTCTCCCTGTCTACACCCATCCAATCATTCATACTGGAATAAAACAAAAACCTCTGAGAAGGTCAGCTGGGACCATGGCATCTACCAACTTGGGTGTATCTCCTTGCTCTGTCCCAAACCCTCCCCTGGGTCTCCCTTTTCTCCTGTTCCCTGCTTTTCTTTCCAGACTTTCCTTGAACTTTTCCCATTCTCCTCATCAGCATCATGAGATTGGGCCTTCTTCAGGGAGAGCAGAAGCCAGGGTTGGCCCTGCAGAACCCCATTAGGAAAGTCTGCGCCTGACTTCACGATACTTTCCATCATGGGCACCTGTGTCCAAAGCCAATCGCTCTCACCTCGGAAGCTCACTCACTTTCCTTTCCAGTGCCAGCATCTGGGTCCAAATCACCCTAATCTATCACCTCTATAATGAAACAGTTGTTTGCTCTTTCCCTGCATTCAGTGTGGCCCTCAACAAACCAGGTCTTCACCAGTGTGGCTCGAGACAGGGTCTCTCAATATAGTCTTGGCAGGCCTGGGATTTGCTATGTAACCTAGGCTGGCCTTGAACTTGCAGAGATCTGTCTGCTTCTGCATCACCGAGAAGCATGTACCACCACATGGCCCCAGGGATAGAATCTTAATGTACCGCTTCACACTCTGATGGAGCCCTAAAACTGCTTTTCATGTTAGTCTCCTACCTACTTTCCTAACATGGGTCATTTTACACACACACACACACACACACACACACACACACACACACACACACACACACACGGTATTCTTTCAAGCCAGGCACCCTCTCCTTTAGCTCACAGCCTCCATCTTTCTGGGATTTAATCATCCCTTCTTAAAAAAAAAAAAAAGGAGTTAAGGTGCTGGAGATGGGTCAGTGGTTTAGGGCACTTGTTGCTTTGTAGCAGAGGACCCAGGCTTGGTTCCAGCACACGGTGACTCACAACTGTCTATAACTCTAGTTCCAGGAGACCTGACATATCTGTACACATGTGTACAGTCAAAACACTTATACACATAAAATAAAAATAATTTAACGAAAATTCCCTTTGACATGGGTAATGGGGGAGTGTATTCACATGTGTGAACGGGATACCTAGGGAATCTTGAAACTTCTCTGCAGCCACGGATAACCCTGAACTGATTCTCTCATCTGCATCTCCTGAGCGCTAGGATTAAGGGTATGGGGTTATATCTGATACCAGGAATGGACCTTCAGGATACCTGCGTTCTAGGCAAGCACTCTCCTAGCTGACCTACATCTCTAGACCAAGGAAGGGCATTTTAGCACAGCTATCCCTAATTAGGAAGACCTTTATTTGGAATAAGAAACTGGTAGTTTTATCTTTGCCCTCCTTTCACTCACTCACGCCATTTGGAAATACGGTTTCTCGTCTTCAAAGCAGAGTAATAATATATATGCCTGTGCTGCTGTAGTGTGTGTGCCCCCTTCCTGCTTCCAGCGGAACCCCACTACCCTCAATCATTTCTCACCCAGCCCAGTTTCTCCTCTTGCTTTTTGACTTCCTGGAAGCTAAAGGGAATCCAATGAGAGCCCCAGCCTGAGGTCAAAGGACTGCATTTGAAGTGGGGAGGGAGAATAGTGATGTCAAGGCCTGGGTGGAAATGGTCAGAGAGATTCAGTTGTTCCAGGATTCCACAGAGGCTCTGGGCGAAGGGGGTGGGGTTCCTGTCCAGTCTGCGCTCTTCCTTTGAATGGAGCCTTCTCTAGACCACAGGGAGTGGGCCTCAGCAGGAGGGCAAGGTCTGAAGGAGGAAATTTTACTATCTCTAGAGACAAAAGGACTTTTGTGTTTTATGATCTATGGGTGAGATTGGGTGGGGAGAGGGGAAATGGTTTATTGGAATGAAAATGACATTGTAAGGCAGAAAAAAGGGGAGAACCAGTCTGTAGAGCCTAAGATGGAAAAACACACTGTGCAGGAATGAGCAGAGGGAGGAGAGAGCAGGGCCGATGGAGAGAGTGGTTAGCAGACAGAAGACAGTGCAGGCAGGTGGAGTGCGGTGATGAGCAGAGGGAAGACAGGGCGCGAAGGATGAGTGCTGCAGGGAAAATGTCAGAGGCAGAAAGAGCTCCTTGGTCAACTTGGGGTTGTGTTGTGTCATTGAGAGACTCCAGGAAGGTCAAAGAAGTATGAATTCAAGTCTCAGTGCTTCATCTAGGAGACACGGCTGGACCCTGTGGCTGTTCTAGAAAATGTACCAACGGTGGGGATATGATATGCACAAACAAACAAACAAACAAAAACTGTTAGGACCCGAAATTTGTCCAACCTAGGAGGATCGCCAGTCCTGGAAGTCTGACCAGGAAGGCTGGGATTAGATGGCTGGAGGCAAGACTTAGGTTAAAGCTGTTTTGTTCGTGTTATCATTTGTTTGTTGTCCTCCAACTTGCTGTATAACTAAGGATGGCCTTCAGCTTCTAATCCTCTTGACTGTAGTTCCTCAATGCTGGGCTCATAGGTGTTGTGCGGTGCTGGGACAAACACTTTGATATAATCTCAGCCCCAGGTTGAGGCTGTTTGACAAATGCCTTTCCCTAGGTGAACCATCTTGGGTTAGAAGCCTCAGAGTCACAAGCGAAGCTTCCTGTTCTGTTTCCAGCAACTCTCGCCCCAGAGAATCAGGCAAATGAAAACTGCAGGTCTTGCAGTTGGGAGGCAGAGGCAGGCAGATCTCTGAGTTCAAGGCCAGCCTGGCCTGGAGAGTGAGTTTCAGAACATCCAGGTCTACACAGAGATACAGAGAAACCCTGTCTTAAAAACCAAAACCAAAACCAACCCAAAAAGTAAAAAAAAAAAAAAAAAGAAAAATGCATGTCTCCCAGATATCATAGAGAAGAAAGATGTTCTTAAGGAAGGGAGATGAGGCACCTTTGACATATACTGGACATTTCAGAAAAGGAATTTATAAAGAACTGTAGGGTTGCCCAACCGCTGCCTCCCTCTCAACTTTGGGGAGGAATCTTTCCAGGGTCAGATACCAAAACACTGGGCTGGTTCAGATCTATGGGAGCCTGTTGGATGTGAGCCCAGAAAAGCACATGTTGCTGTTGCAGTTGCCTTGGTAACTGGGGGGACAAGCAGAACAGGGCTTCCCAGTCTTGTAGGGCGACTCCCCGATCCAGTTGCCCCTACAAGAGAACAGGCCCAGGGGAAGCAGAGTTAGGGAACAGCAGAGTTTAGGTGAAGCAGCCTTCACAAATTTACACATTGCAGTCCCGGGGTCCACTGCCTATGTGACCTTCAAGCCCTGGTTTCTTCTTCTGTAAATCTCTTCCATAGGGATGCAGAGAACAGCACAAACACAGTCTGTGCACATGTGCCCAGCATCGTTGTGCTTGGAAAATCCTGACATCCTGTAAGGTTTGGTTTTCTCTCTTTTCCCCAGCCTCCCTGGAGGGGCAGTTTTGGGTTCTGGTCCTGAGTTCTCATCCTAGTGACAGACCGGGCCACTTCATTTCTTCCTCTGAATAAAATAAATGAAACAGTGTCCATGAAAATATGTGAAATGATCTACGGGGCGGGGATCTCCTTGTGCTATATATATGTTGTGCAAATGAGAGTTTGAGTAATTAGCTGATGAGGATAACCAGGCATGAGTGGCTCACTCCTGGAGTTTCATTATGACCACTACCCTCCATGGCTACACCTTTAATCTACATACTCTGTATAGAATTACCCTCTCAAAAGACCACCACCCTTTATGGAAGGAAATAGGGAGTTATTGCCTAGTGGTTATAGAGATTTCTCTGGGCTGATGAAAAAGGGAAAAGTTTAGAAGGAATGGTAAATGGCTCAGCTGGTAGAGACTTTGCCTAGCCTCACAAAGCCTTGGGTTCAGTTCCCAGTACCTCATACAACAGGTCTGGAGGTCACTCCTATAATTCTAGCACTTGGAGGTGCAGGCAGAAAGATTAGTTCAAGATCAACATTATGAGTTTAAAGCCAGCCTGGGCTACATGAGACCTTGTCTCACAAGAAAAACAGAACCCACAAAATGCCTAGCAGTTCAAGGCACTTGCTGCCAAGCCAGGTGACCTGAGTTCAATCCCCAGGAGCCACATGGTAGAAGAAGAGAATCAACTCCAAGAAGTTTTCCTCTGATCTTCACATGTGCACAGTGGTGTGTGGACATTATCCCCATAAACAAATAAATGACTGTAATATAAATAAATAAAATGCCAGTGATTGTACAATGTTATAATAATTGTCACTGAATTCCTTACTTAGAAGAAGATTCAATGGTATCTTTTATGCAGTATTTTACTGAAACTTTAAGTACTTATTATTAATTGTGTCTCTGTGACATGAAAGCAGCTGTAGAGAAGAGATAAAGGAATTGTTGCCCCATGTTTCAATAAAACTTTTTTAAAATGGGCCAAAAGCCAGGTTTGCCCATGGGCCCTAGTTTTCAAAGTCCTGTCTTACAGAATCCCATCACCAGCTGTGGGTCTTCATTTCAGAGTGTCCTAGCTAGGAGGCGGGTGGTACTCATCCGTAATCCTAGTACTTCGAAGGTTGAGTTCCAGGCCAGTCTAGGCTACAGAGTGAGACCTGCCTCAAAAACAAAACAAACAAACAAAAAACAAAACCAGAAGTTTTCTCGTTTTGAGCTGAAAATCTGCAATGTTCGTAAGTCTGTGTAGTGATATTGGATGGAAACTTCTATTGCCATTTCCCTGTGTTTCCAAGAGATTTGTGTGACGATGCCTCCTGACCTCCTACCTACAGAGGTGAGGCTGGGAGAGAGCCGCGCATGCTCTATCCGTCTTTACTCTTCCATTCACTGCGCCCGCCTATGCGGAGCAGGTGTTCTTAGTTGTCTGTTTCTTGGGGTGCGCTCAAAGGGCTAGCAATGCGCCCAATGCTCAGCGATGCCTGGCATTGGCGTGAAAGGCTAGCTTCCTGGTGAAATATTAGTACATCCACTTGGTGGGCAGATGGGCCAAATCAGGCCACAATACCTCCACCCCTACCCCTGCCCTCCCTCCTTCCCCCTCTTTTCTCCCCCCCCCCTTGGGTACAGAAGAAGAATTATTGGTTGAGGCTGTGGCTAAATGGTAGAATACTTGCTTAGCTTGTGCAAGACCCAGTCCCGGTGCCACAAAATAGACAAACGAAAGGCCTCATCAACTGACTCTCTTAAATTGGCAAAACCAGCATAGCACTGAGTAGGAGGAAGCCTGGAACGGAACTTACTTGATGGCATAGTTGCAGACCAGGTACACAGCCTGCTGCCAGGTGCTGCCCCACACGTTGATGGTGCTACAGGTGTGAAGAGCACAGCCCAGCCGGCTGGAGGATGCCCACACCATCTGTGGAAACACAGGGACAGGGAGGCCCAGGCTTGGAGGAGCCCAACAGCCCGAGCAGCGTGGTTACTGGACCCCATTCCAGATGAGCACAGTGTGAAGTCTTGGGACCTGGGAGAATGGGAGAAGAGTCCATGTCTGCCTATCCTAAGGGGTTGGGGGGATGGCTTGGGACATTTATTCTGTAATAGAATGTTTTTTTATATTTGTTTATTTTATGTATATAGGTGCTTTGTTTTTATCCATACCAGAAGAGGGCACCATTCGGTTGTTGGGAATTGAACTCAGGACCTCGCAAAGAGCAGCCAGTCAGTGCTCTTAACCGCTGAGCCATCTCTCCAGCCCTAGAATGTTTTTTAAAAATAGCGTTTTAAGGAAACCAACAGTAAGGAATGTGGTTCACGTTGTTCTGTAGACCAGGCTGACCTCGAACTCACAGAGATCTGCCTGCCTCTGCCTCAGGACTGTTGGACTAAAGGTGTGGGCCACCACCACCCGGCTTGTATTTCCTATTGTTACACAGTGAAATAGGTGAGCCAGGCGCCAACGTGTGACAAGATAAGCAGGGGTGTAGTTCAGCAGTAGAACAAATGCCTAGCGGGCCTAAGGCCTGCGTGTAATACCCAGCGTGCCGAAGAGTGCTACATGTTTATCCGTATCATGTGTGGTATGTTATTATTTTCTGTACCCTTTCATCCATTTTTCTTTTTAAGATTTTCCTCTTGGTGACATTTGAAAGTCATTGTAGTGTTGGAGGTTAAGCACAAACTTGAATTACACACACTTGGGTCAGCATCTCAACGTCACCCGCTGTGAGATCTTGACTGGGTCTCTAATCCTCTCTGTGCTTCATTAGGAAGGTAGAGGTAATAGTGTCCTACAATTTTATTTTTGATAGAGCCTTACTATATATCCTTGGGTGGCCTAGAACTCAATATGTAGATCAGACTGACCTCCAACTCACAGAGATTTGCCTATCTCTGCCTCCCAAGTGCTGGGCCTAAAGGCGTGGGCCACTACATCTGGCCACTTAAAATTTTTTTAAACATAGTTGGAATGGGCTGGGGTGTAGCTCAGTGGTAGAACAAAACAGAGAATAGGAGTTTTGGGAAACAGAAAATACCCAAAACATTCACAACAAAACAATGGCAGAGTATGATGCCTGTAATCTCAGAAGGAGAGGCAGGAGGATTTCTCAGAAGGAGAGGCAGGAGGAGTTTCAGGCCTGTGAGGACCTATATTTCAATAGAATTCATCTCAATTCACTCTCTGCACAACTTTCCAGGAATGCACACCTTCCATAAAGGGAAGCACACTCTGGGAATGGTGGGTATGCCTGTAGTCCCAGCACTCAAGAGGCTGGGACGGGAGGATGGAGAACGGGACACCAACCTGGTGGGTATGCCTGTAGTCCCAGCACTCAGGAGGTGGAGATGGGAGGATGGAGAGCGGGACACCAACCTGGGGTATACAGTGACCCCGTTTCCAAAAAAAGAAACCAAAGGAAGCCCCCGGGGCCTGTGCTTCGATTCTCATTCTGCCACCTCCCCCGTTATTCTTTGAGGTGCCAGGGCCTGTAGAGTGGCACTCTTGGCTGGCAGGGGGATACCTGGGTATAGTGGGAGCATACAGGACCGCTGCAGAGCCAAGGGCAGTGTGGGGTACAATCCTTTGGAGTTGGGAATGAGTAATGACGCTTTTCCTCAGACCAGGACTTCATGAGATCTACCACAGAACGGTACCTGGGGAGGCCAAGAACATGGAAGAAGGTGAAGGAAGGGCGGAAGAGTCACTCTGTCACAAACTTGTTTTGTGAGTGACTTCATTCTCCATCACATTCCCCATCTGTAAAATGACAGAATGCGCACAGGTCGTACTTACCTCATAGGTTAGGGTCTGACTATGGACCACTCACCTGTCCCTGGCACAGAGTAAGTGCTCAATAAAGCTGTGTGAAGAGCCAGGTTGTAGTGGCATTTCAGGCACAGCTTGTATTTTTAGGGAAAGAGAGGCATGCTGAACCATCAGGTCATCCCAGGAAGCTCTCTGCAGACTGAAGAACCTGGTGAGGTCTGAGGACTTTCTCCATCAGATACATCTGCCAGTGTTAGCAGGCTGAGGAGACCAGGCCACCTCCCAAGCAGCTGTCTCTGGGACAGAGTCTAGAGGCAGTTTGTGTTGGAACTTGAAGCTGTGGTGAACTAAATCATGTGATGTGAAACTTCCTGCCAGTCACCTCAACCCTACAAATGTCTAATGTGCCCTTTGTTCTTGGGATGGCTTTGGGGTTTTTCTCTGATGACTTCTCTGAAGAGGCTCTCTGGCCTCCTTCACTGTCCCTCTCAAGGAGCTCCCTCTCTAGAGACAGCATCTAGTCCTAACCCTATCCCTAAGCCTAAGCCTAACCCTAACCCTTCACTATCCCTCTCAAGGAGGCTCCCTCTCTAGAGACAGCATCTGACTACGTAGCTCTGACTGGCCTTGTACTCACAGAGACTGCCCTGCCTCTGCCTCTGTCTCCAGAGGGCAGGGATTAAAGGTGCTGCCACTACATCTGGCTCTCCCTATCTCTCTTAGTCTCAATTTCAACAGAAAAGATTAAATGTTGGAGCTGGAGAGGTGGCTCAGAGGTGAATAGTATAAGTACTTGCTGCTTTTCCCGGGTTCCAAGTTCAGGACATGGAACACATGTGGCGTACACATATACACATACATATAAAATGTTTTTTAAGATCTTATTTTTATTTTAAATTATGTGTGTATGTGTGCATATGTGTGTGTGCCTTATGTTCATATGCATATATGTAGTGTCTGTACATGTGCATGTGTGTTTGTGTGTGTGCATGCACGTGTATGTATGTGTGCATGTGTGTGTGTGTTTGTGCATATGTGTGTGTGAGCATACACATGAGTGCAGTGGCCGAGCATGCCATAAGAGAGTGTTGGATCCCTTGGAGCTGGAGTTACAGGCAACTGTGAGCTGTCCATTTGGGTTCTTTGTGAAAGTCATACTCAGTCTTAACCACTGAGCCACCCCTCCCTCCCATCATATTCTCATTCCTAATGAGGGGCCTCTTTGCAAGGCCCCCATCATGTTTGCCTCTCGTACACTGCATGTTTTGTGTCTCATGTTCCCTTTCATCTTGATGCTTGATCATGGTCTCAAGGCCCTTTCTCTAAATAAGCTGATTTCTTTCTTTTTAAAACTAATTTATATATTTTTGTTTGTGTATGTCTGTGTGAGGGTGTTGAATCCTCTGGAATTTGGGTTCCAGACAGTTGTGAGCTGCCATGTGGGTGCTGGGAATTGAATCCGGGTCCTCTGGCAGAGCAGCCAGTGCTCCTAACTACTGAGGCATCTTCCCCTCAAGGGAATTATCTGTGAGCTCTCCTTTCCAGGACTGCCCATTGGTGTTGTATCTTACTCTCCATGGTTACTGACAGGCATAAAGTCAAAAGAGCACCAACACTGGCATTGTGCAACAGTGCCTCTGTTCTTCAACACCCTTCCCTGTGAGCCTCAGAAGCGCTGGTCATCAGGCGATGGAGAGTGAGATGGGAAGAATTTCATGGTAGGAGGGAGGGTGTGTGAGCTTGGGGAAGGACATGGTCAAAGATCAGCTCTGCAGGACTCGGAGAGACCGTTCATAATTCCCAAGGCTTGGCACTGGCTCCAACCAGTTGGTGACATGCCAAGGTGTGGAGGGCCCAATGGTCCCAGGACCTCAGTTTTCAGGGTGAACCTTGATCCCTGCTGAGGTCATGGCAAACTGGTAGGATGGGGATGGTCATGCTTTCCTAATGTCCTTAATTGGCTGAATAAAACAGTGGTATATGGCCATCTCTTAAATGTTTGTGTGTGTGTCTGTGTGCACATGTGCATGCACACGTGTTCATGTGCCATGTGTACATACATGTGGAGGCCAGAAGTCAACCCCAGGTATCATTTCTTAGATGCCATCTACCCTGTTTTTGAGACAGGGTCTCTCACTGGCCTAAGATTCAAAGATTAGGCTAATCTGCCAGCCAGTGATTCCCAGGGACCCTCCTGCCTCCGTTTCCCCAGTGTTGGGATGGCAGGCATGCACCGTTGTGCTCGGCTTTTTATGTGGGTTCTGGGGATTGAACACAGGTCTTTGTGCTTGCCAGACAAACACTTTTCCAGCAGACCATCTCCTCAGCCCTTGTTACTGGCTAATGAAACCCACAAGTCTAGAACTAACTAATCTAGGCCAATAGAGACCCCAAATTTTGGAATATAGGCAAAACTTCCTTAGGTCGAACCCATCAGAACTCAGGCACCCACATTCTGAGTCAGAAACTGGATGGTGACAAAAGACAGGCTGGCCATTCAGTTTCATTGTCATTCCTGGGCCCAGTGTACTCACCCCCTACCCTCTGTCCCAGCTCCACTCCCCACAGCCCTCATCACCTCCTTATGCCCGTGAGTCTTCAAATTCATCCTCACTCTCCGCAGCAGCATGAACTCTAGTTTGTCTACCCCGTACTGCCTGCGCATCCTAAACAGCACGAATTTCTGTATGTGCAGACCTTATCTGCCTAGTTCGTCGCGGTAACCACCACCGCGCGCGCGTAGCACCTGGGCCAGAGCGAGTACCCAGTGTACATTTGCCAAATGACTGAATGAAGAAACGGCAGGGATTCACTCACCGGCCGGAATGGATAGACAGGTTCTGGCCCACATATTTCATCAGCTGTGAGGGTCCATGGGCCCAGATGCACTGAGTGGCCCAGGCTTCAGCAGACCTGGCCAGCTGTTCATCCCAAACCTGATGGAAGAAAGACCGTGAACTTGACCCAGGGTAAATAACCACCATGGCCATAGTGGGGTGCAGATGTGCCCATTTACCTGGCACCGTGCTGAGGTCAACATACCCACATAGTGGGGTGCAGATGTGCCCATTTACCTGGCACCGTGCTGAGGTCAACATACCCACATAGTGGGGTGCAGATGTGCCCATTTACCTGGCACCGTGCTGAGGTCAACATACCCACATAGTGGGGTGCAGATGTGCCCATTTACCTGGCACCGTGCTGAGGTCAACATACCCACATAGTGGGGTGCAGATGTGCCCATTTACCTGGCACCGTGCTGAGGTCAACATACCCACATAGTGGGGTGCAGATGTGCCCATTTACCTGGCACCGTGCTGAGGTCAACATACCCACATAGTGGGGTGCAGATGTGCCCATTTACCTGGCACCGTGCTGAGGTCAACATACCCACATAGTGGGGTGCAGATGTGCCCATTTACCTGGCACCGTGCTGAGGTCAACATACCCACATAGTGGGGTGCAGATGTGCCCATTTACCTGGCACCGTGCTGAGGTCAACATACCCACATAGTGGGGTGCAGATGTGCCCATTTACCTGGCACCGTGCTGAGGTCAACATACCCACATAGTGGGGTGCAGATGTGCCCATTTACCTGGCACCGTGCTGAGGTCAACATACCCACATAGTGGGGTGCAGATGTGCCCATTTACCTGGCACCGTGCTGAGGTCAACATACCCACATAGTGGGGTGCAGATGTGCCCATTTACCTGGCACCGTGCTGAGGTCAACATACCCACATAGTGGGGTGCAGATGTGCCCATTTACCTGGCACCGTGCTGAGGTCAACATACCCACATAGTGGGGTGCAGATGTGCCCATTTACCTGGCACCGTGCTGAGGTCAACATACCCACATAGTGGGGTGCAGATGTGCCCATTTACCTGGCACCGTGCTGAGGTCAACATACCCACATAGTGGGGTGCAGATGTGCCCATTTACCTGGCACCGTGCTGAGGTCAACATACCCACATAGTGGGGTGCAGATGTGCCCATTTACCTGGCACCGTGCTGAGGTCAACATACCCACATAGTGGGGTGCAGATGTGCCCATTTACCTGGCACCGTGCTGAGGTCAACATACCCACATAGAGATGAGAAAACAGAGGCTCAAAGGCTTTGACTCAAGGTCAGACACAAATCCACAGCTGAACCAGGGTCTACGCTCAGGTCTCTGGCTCTGAGTCCTGTGTTCTTTCTTCCTCACTAGACCTCAAACTTAAAGCCCCAGCTCTGTTTGGAATCCCAGGGCATTTGAAATAGTTATCAGCAGTTCCTACATGTGACTGAACCCAGAGTGAAGAAGAATCATTGATTTTAAGTTCACATTATTTTCATTTAAAAATTGAATTCAGGACCTCCTTTTAAAGTATGAAAAGAAGCCAGGCAGTGGTGGTGTGCACCTTTAGTCCCAGCACTCAGGAGGTAGAAGTAGGCAGATCTCTACAGAGCTAGTGCCAGGACAGGCTACAAAGCTACACAGAGAAACCCTGTCTCAAAAAACAAAAATAAACAAACAAAAAGTATGAAAACATGCAAAAAGTTAGGTTAAAAATAATAAAATTTGGATGTGGTAGTGCACACCTTTAACCCTGGCGCTCAGCCAGTTTGGTCTACATAGAAAGTACCAGGCCAGCCAAGGCTACATAGCAGATAGATAACTGTTAGGAAAAAAAAGATACCAAAAAAAAGGCAAAGTGGAGTATTTTACAGCCCTCATCATTCCTGGATAGTCCCTTAAGCCACCCTGTACCCTTCCCCAACAGTCTCCAGCCAGAAATCTTCTCCATAACTCAAATATGTAGATACACAAAAGGCTGTGCACACTCTGTTCTGTAGGCAATTCTTCATTTGACAGGACAGGTGACCTTAGTGAGTATTCTACATCAGTGCCTATTAAACCCCTTCCTTATCCTTCTTCATAGTTAAATAAGTTTCCAGTGTGGAAATTCTTCACAGTGTATAGCTGGGGTGCTGGGGGGAGCAGTATTAGCGCTTTAAAAAATGCTAGTTCTCAGGGTTGGAGAGATGACTCAGAGAGCAAGAGCACTTACTGCTCTTACCTAGGTTTGGTTCCCGGTACCCACATGGCAGCGCACAACTGCCTGTAATTCCAGTTCTAGAGAATCTGATACCCTCTTCTGTTTAAGAGAAGCCTAGACTACATGAGACTGAAGCAGGACAGCACGACAGGGAAATTATGGGGATGTCGGAGAGAGAAGAGCCCCTCCCCCTGGAGCCTGGATAAAGTCTCCCCCAAGCTGAGACTTGAAGACTCCAATACAGCTAATAACATTTTCCACTGCTGACAAGACCGTGTCTCAAAACTAAACCAAGGGTTGGAGAGATGGCTCCGCAGTTAGGAACACTGGCTGCTCTTCCAGAGGACCCAGGTTCAGTTCCCAGCACCCACAGGGAGGTTCAAAACCATCTGTAACTTCAGTTCCAGGGGATCCAATGACCCCTTCTGTCCTCCCTGGGCACCAGGCACACATATACACTGGCATACATTCAAGTCAAGCACCCATACACATAAAAATAAATATGTAAAATGGTAACAAACAGACCCCCCCAAACCCAGTTTCCTTCCAACTCTGACGCCCTGGAATTCTTTGTGTTAGTATTTGTTCACTCAGCAAATATTGAACAGTATTCCTTGGCACCAAGGACTCAGTCTAGCAAGGAAATGAGCTGTCAAACAAGCATGACTCACGACAACCCCAGGGCATGTGGGGATGTGAGGAGTGACCCAGACCTGGGGGGGGGGTTGGAAGAAAAGGGGGTTTGGAAGAAAAGGCTTCTGTCAGGGTTGCTTAGAGTCACCCTGTTCTGGGGATGCAAAGCCACCAAGCAAACAAGAAATGGAGATGCTAAGAAGTCCCCCTCCTGCCCCACCCATTGTAGCCTCCTGCTTTTTTAGGGAAAGCAGAGCAAAGAAATGAAGGGAGAGAAGGAACAAAGTAAAAGCAGTGGGACCCTCCGCAGCATCCTTGGAGAGAGTAGCTGGCTCACTTCCTGTGTCTATGCTGCGTGCAGTGAGGAAACACCCGTTGGGTAGTGCCACCCATACCGCTGGTGCCCAGTTAATGTGCCATTTGTTTGGAAACTAGAGCCTTCTGCGTGGCAGTTTCAGTGTTAATAAATGAGTGAATGAGTCAGCAAACAAGTAAATGACAGCCCAGCCCCTCCCCCACGCCCCACTCCCAACTGCCTGCTAGTCAACTCTTGTTCTGGCCCCTTCACAATTGTCCCCTGACATATACTGGGTTCCGTATCTTGTCAGTGGCCCCCAATCCCTGTCGCCCCCCCCATACACAAAATTAGTTTCTTGAGGGAGTAAGCCTTGTTCTCCACAGCATCAAGAAAAGACTCAGCTCTGCGTCTGGCTCCAAGCAGGAGGTAGCACATAGAGACTGCTAAAGGGGGCGGCATTTCCACTTGTCAGCGGGAGGAGGGCTACTGGCTATCTCTCTTCCTAAAGATGCCTCTGCGGGCTGGCAGCCTATCTCTTCAGGCTTGGGGACAATGGTCCCAGGGAGGAGCTGTGATAGGAGGGTAATCATCCTGGTTTCTGAGACACGGAGCTGAGAGACACTAGGACTGACACTGAGATTCAGCTCCTGGCATTCCTCAGCCCAAGACACCCTGGTGCCTGCCTGTCCTCTGCTGGGACTGGGGATGAATGGTCTGGGTGTGTCCAAGAACCTGCTCTGCTGAGAGACAATAGCCTGGAAAGCTCAGTCTCCCACCCCCTGTAGGTCCCCAGTCTGGAGGCAAATCCCCGGCACAGTTTGTTTGTGAAAGCTCCCACCTCAGCAACAGGCAGAGCAAGCTTGCAATCTGGCCTAGGGACCTGTCCTGTAACTCAATCCCTTCACTTGGAAAACATGAAACATTGTCTTGGAGGAAGAGGATCGTGTGAAGGAGCTGGCAGGGTGCCAAGTTGTCCTACAGATAGTATTCTTCTCTCCCCACCCCATCCATTCACCAAGGATATATGCCACGACCTTGCTTTCTGCATCTGTAAAATGGATTACTCATTTTCACCGTTTGCTTAGGCTAGGTGGGCAGCTTTGAAGGTCCAGCTCTTCAAAGGCACCCAGTCACTCGGAAGCCACAGTGAGCAATCTGGTGTTGGTTGGAAGATGCACCAGGAAGGCCTGGGACTCACCATATACTCCATGTTGGCTGCGGGTGGGTGTACGCTGGCCCGGATGTGGTTGTGGTAACCCAGCAAGGCACTCATGTCCCGGGCAGAGATATGGCGCTTCCGGCGGTACCGGGGTACCCCCAAGCCGGACAGGGGCCACACAGCTACGTTCTTGGGTCGGCCCAGGACCAGTGTGGTGTTGGGCATCCTTAAGGCCCCCACTGTGTGGCCTGTCCAGAAGAGAAGGCCCGCCAGGCCCATGACGCTGGCCAGAAGAGGCATAGCTGTCTGGGGTCGTGTACCTGTCTGGTGCAGAGTAGAGCTGCTGCCTAGAAGAGGTGGGTGTGAGAATGCCAAACCCTGAGCGCTGTCCTCGGGCACTGCCGATCCAGAGACCTTGGCAGAGATTCTCTGAGCCAGCTCTGGTCCAGATGCTCAGTACTTCCTCCTTCCTCCCCAATGGACTCAGTTGGTTAGGTGATGGGAAGAAATCCCCAGACAGTGGTTAACCCAGACTGGGCACTGGAGTGGGAAGGTGCTACCACTTCAAAGCCAGGGCTCTGTCACATTTGCCCAGGAGACAGACGGCCATCTCCTCTGGCCAAACACCCTCTTTACCAATCCCCTAATGTTGGACTCAGTTGATGTCCACAGAAGCAGAACAGGGCCCCTTTTCAGTGCAGCGGCCTCGGGATGGAGGGGGTGACGTGGGAAGGACAGACAACAGAGGATGGCAGAGGCAGAAGGGTCATTGGCAGTCAGAGAAAAAGACAAAGAGAAGAGAGGAGACCAAGAGAGGGACTGCAAAGGAAACGGGGGGGAGGGGAGCTAGAATAATGGGGTGAAAGAAAGAGCGGGAGAAATTGAGGCAAAGGGAAACAGACAGCATGGGAGAGAGAAGAGGAGAGAAGGAGACAAGAGAGGGCAGGAAATGAGAGGAGAAGGGAGGCCAGGACAGTCCAGTGGAGACCAGGCGTCAAGTTTACTGGGGGCACATACCCAGCACAGGTAGCCCCAGGAGGTGGCAGAGAAGGCAGGGGCCTCTGTAGAGATCCTGGAAGTGCAGCGATTTTAACAGTCCCTGGGGAGCCATAGCATCTGACGTCCCAGTCAGCAGCCCCCTCCTTGTCCAGCCAGCACATCCAGAGAGTGAGGCTCCGCCTGCCTCTTCTGTGGGCTTTTCTCTCCAGCCCTCTCCTCCTAGTCCCTTTGCCATCTGGAGTGCTCAGAGGCTGTGGCTAAGCTGCCAGCTGAGTGGAAAGATGGTAAAGGGCTAGGAGTCCTGGGAGGATGCCCCTGCACCAGGGAGATCCCAGACCCAGTGGAGGTCTCTACTTGCCAGGCCCCTGCAGAATAAGGCAGCAGGAGAGAGTTTTCCCCAATGCCCTGCAGCCTCAGAGTGGGCAGATACGACGGTGATCCAGGTATGAGCATCCATTGTGTCCTACACCTTAGGATGAGAGCTTTATACACACAAGCACAGCCGATACTCAGAGGCAGGTGCTGCGGCCCCTCCCTGTCCCACTGTAGAGGAAGACTCTGAGCCCTACAGAGGTGAAGGAAGAAAGTCACAGTCAACAGAGACTGGGTTCAAATCCAAGTCTGCTTGCTCCCCAGGGCCCTGTTAGTAAGAGCAACTGATGCTCTGCTCTGTAGCCAAAACAAAAAACAGATGTGTGGGGTGAACCCTGGAGAAGGCTTGTGCCACTCAAACAGCATGGTGTGTGCATTCAGCAAGGGGGTTCAAGCCCTTTATTCCCCCCACTGCCAAGTGTCTATGAGCAATTGATTGGTGAACTGTTTTATCCTCACAGGTACAAATGAGAGAAATAAAGACACCTGCCTCATCACCTGTGAGAGCCAGTGAGTCAATGTTTGTGAAATTACAACAGCAGCTGCCGCATGGCATTTTCTGTGGGTGTGTGCGTTCCCGTTCATGCACACCCATGTGTTCTTTTTGACTGTTTACACTTGGGTGTTACGTGTGTGCCCGTCCAGCTACATGTACATAGGCATGCGGGCTTCTGTGTCATATGTACGTCCAGGTGCATGCATGAACATACATGTGTCTATATATATATACATGCATGGATGTGATTGGATTCCAAATGGTCTCTGAGTTGCTGAAACTGTGAGTTTGGCATTCATTTTTCTCCTCTTTGGTTGCTTGTGTTCTGCACAAATAACAAACATTCCTTTAATACTAGGAGAATCACACTTACAGGGAATGTGTAAAAGAAACAAGGATGAAAACCCCCAGACTGGGACAGGAGAGGTGGCTCAGTGATTAAGAGCACTTGGTGTTGCAAAGGCCCTGTGTTCGATTCCCAGTACCCACATGGAGACTCACCACCTCCTAGGGCACCAGGCATGCATGTGGTGCACAGACATACATGCAGGCAAAACATACATGCACATAAAATACATCTAAAACATACATGCACATAAAGATACATCTTAGAAAAATAAGGTTTTCGTTTTTTAAAGGGAAACCCCAGTCTGACATAAGTCTAGAAGCATCAAGGCTGAGTTCCCGCTCAGCTAGAGATCCTGAGCTGAAGATGGGCTGGGCCACTCAAGCCAGGTCTTCCTCCAGACACTTGAAACCCTAGATCTAGGCTGCCACCCAGACTGCTCCCCCAGAGTCCAGACAACACAGCTGCCAAAGCACACTCCTGCTGCAGCAATGTTCCTGGCCACAGAATCCCTAGCGTGGCCAAATGACCGCTGGAAACTAAAGGAGGCTGTGGGAGGCTGAGATCCCTGACCTCAGCCGGGCCTTCCCATCACAGGATAAGAAAAACAGACACAAACAGCACTCGCTCTTGGGGACTGAGGACTGTCCAGTCCAAACTCCTCTGGCTGCCTGATCTGGACCACTCCCATGTGAAGTGCCCAAGCCTTACTTCAGAGCTTAGCATCAACGGTCCTGGTTCACGCGGTAAGGACACATCTACAGGGGAGCTCTCTGCTCCCCTGTGGACCAGGTGGCCCCTTTCCATGAGGCAGGTTTTTCAGCAGATAAAATAGCCAGGTGGGGCAGGCAATAATTAGGGGTGACCCAAATTAGGAGCTCCTGGTTAACATCTCTCAATGGCTTCTACACCTGCTGGGTTCAGCTACTGCCTGCTCCTTGCCGTCTCACATAGGCAAAGAAGGGACGCTTCTCCCAGAGAGTGGTATTGAGGCTGTGACAGGGCAGGCTGAAGCCAGACAGCCTGGGTTGCTGGGCCAACCCCAAGGATCATTGACTAAGTGGCCACCAGCAAGCTACTCAATCCTTCTCTGCCTTGGTTTCTTCATCTGTAAAGTGGAACCACGGGGCTGGAGAGAGGGCTTAATGGTTAAGGGTGAGCTCTGCTCTTTTAGAGGACCAAGTTTGGTTCTCAGCACGTATGGTGGGTGGCTCACAACTTCTGAAACTCTGCTGGCCTCTGTGGGCACGTTCACTCACACACACACACACACACACACACACACACACACACACACACCAGGGTAAGCCTGGTCTACATAGTGAATTCCAGGCCAGCTAAGGGCTACATAGTGACATTCTGACAAAAACAAAACAAAACTCTCATTTATCACAGTACACCTGTGACGGTCAACTCTTTCTCTTTCTAACATGTGGGTCTCAGAGGTCAAACTCAGGTTGTCAGGGTTGGCCACAAGCTCCTTTACCCACTGAGCCATCTTGCTGGCCCTGTTGGTATCCCTTAGGACACTCAATGAAATGTTTGTCACAGCACAAGCTGCTGATACCTGTGACGACAGCTAATAATATCACCAGGCAACATTGCACACGGGAGATGCTGACAGGTTCTAAATGTTTCATACATGAGCCTCCTTAAGCCTCATCCCCTCTTCATCATGTCAGCACACCTGCTCTCCAACTGACACTGTGACAGTTCAGAGAGGCTAAGCAGTTTGCCCAAGTTCCCCCAGTCAGTCGCAGGGGAAACAGGATTCTAGACTCCATGCCTGCTCACAAGGTCATATCTGAACCAAGAGCATGGTCCAGGAGGCTGTGGCTGGACAGAAGAGACCAGGAAGCGGGCGGGCCCTTAGAGATCATTTGGGCCACTTGTTGGTTGAGAGAAGTTCAGAGAGGTTAAACAGATTGTCCAAGGACAATACACAGTAGCTGACAGGCTCAGGACTGTAGCCCAGATCTGTCGCTACAAATCCAAGCTGTATGAGGGCAGCCATTAGGAACAGAAAAGCTACGGGGGTTGGGGGCTTGTTTTGTTTTGTTTTTAATTTGTTTTGAAACAGGGTTTTGCTGTCTAGTCCAGACTGGCGTTGAAATTGTAGCAATCCTCCTGCTTCAGCCTCCCCGCAGTTTTCTTTTCTTTTCTTTCAATTTTTATTTGCAAAAAAGAAAAAAAAAGATTTTAAAATGTTTATGTGTGTGAGTGGTTAGCCTTCGTGATGCAAGTGTCCCATGTGTGTGCCTGGTGCCTTCAGAGGTCAAAGAAGAGAGCAGGATCACTGGGAACTAGGGTTATAGATGGTTGCCAGCCTCTATGTGGGAGCTGGCTTGTTTTCTTCTCTTTTTTACATTTATTTAACTTTATTTCATGTGCACTGGTATGAAGGTATCAGATCCCCTGAAACTGGAGTTACAGGCAATTGTGAGCTGCTGTGGGTGCTGGGAATTGAACTCAGGTCCTCTAGAAGAGCAGCCAGTGCTCTTAACTATTGAGTCATCTCCCCAGCCCCTGGATCTTTTTTTCCCCCCTTTGGTTTTTCCAACCAGGATTTCTTTCTTTTCTTTTTTTTTTTTTTTTTTTGGTAATGTTTTTATTTAAATTAGAAACATGAATGCCTCACATGTCAATCCCAGCTCCCTCTCCCACCCCTCTTCCCTTGTCCATCCACCAGCTCCCCAAACCCCCCACCCAATCACCACATCATTCCCCAGGGAGGGTGAGGCCCTCCTTGGGGGATCTCTAAAGTCTGTCATTTCATCTCGAGACAGGATTTCTATGTATTGCTTTGGAGGCTGTCCTGGAACTCGACTCTGTAGACCAGGCTGGCCTCGAACTCACAGAGATCTGTCTGCCTCTGCCTCCTGAGTGGCTGGGATTAAAAGAATGTACCACCAATGTCTCGAGTCCCTGAATCTTTTTCAAAAGCAGCAAATGCTCTTAACTGCTGGGCCATCTCCCCAGACCCCACAGCTTTATATTTTTAAACAATTTTGACAATATCATACACCCACATTATGTATCCTGGTCATTTCACCCCGTTGTCCTCTGTCATCCCCACCCACTCCTATT